TATGGAGGCCCTAAGCCACTTATCCAGGCTGCCTCAAAATAAAGAAATAAAATAGCCCTCTCGAAGGGCCGGGGGAAGCCCCATGGCATGGTGCAGGAGCCCTGCGTGCCCAGAGGATACCAGCCCGTGTCACCTGGGGGTCGCCCACAGGGCTAGGAAGCAGGGGGCTGTGGAGTACAGAGAGGGGTCCACATCTCCACTCTGTCACCTTCTTCCTGGGGACTCGGGCAAGGTCATCGACATCTCTGGCACCCCTGCCCAGCGCAGGGTCTAGTGTGTGGTGGGCACTTAGGACCCTCGGAGGGCCAGGAGCTCTCCCTACCCCAGGGCCGTGTGTCCTCCCAGAACCAGGCGAGGCTGAGGCTCAGGTGCCCACAGCTCCAGAGCCCTCTCCAGCCTCCTCGCCCAGGTGGGGCCTGGCTCCTGTCCCCCAGACCCACTCGGCACACTCTGTGTTGACCATCCTGGACTTGGGTCCTAATCTGGTCCTCGAAGCAGAGGTCCCAGCTCCAGCCACCAGTATCCCCGACCATGAAACTAGACGGTACAGTGACAGCTTCTTGGGACAGGCCACTCCCCTCTGCTGCGCTCTCGGGCTGTTAAAGGTAAGCCCTGGGGCTGGGGATGTGGCTCAAGCGGTAGCGCGTTCGCCTGGCATGCATGCGGCCCGGGTTCGATCCTCAGCACCACGTACAAAGAAAGATGTTGTGTCCGCCGAGACTCCTCGGGACCCACACAATCAGAATTTACTTCCATCTCAAGCACCAGGGGTGTCCCTGGCCAGGAGACGGGGACCACAGGCCCTTTCCACCTGTGGCTTAGCTCCTGGACGTGCTACCTGACCAGCGCCTCCATGGGGGGAGGTGACACACCTGCTTTTAAACCACTTCTGCCCCCACAACCTCATTTCCACTCGGAGCCCATAGGTAAGAATTTGTCCTGAGCCCACCTCGGCGCAAAGGAGTCTGGGAAATGTAGTTTTTGATGGGACATTTAGATCCAGCTAAGTCTCTACTATAGGCACCCTCCTCTGCACAGTGGGGTGTGGCAGTGCCCCTGGCCTTTGACCACTAGATTTCTGGGGGACAAAATTGCCCCCTGCACTGGGGGAGATCGCCTGCTCTAAAGGGGCACCAGCGGGGTCAGCCCTGTGGGAGTCGGACACCAACACACGCCCCACACATCTCTGTCATTGGGATATTTCATATCATTGAAGATTTGGAATTCTGAGTTTTTTGAAAAATCGGAAGACTCAGCTGGCCCTGGACCCCACCTCTCTGCTGGGCAGTGGTCAGCTGGGGCTGAGAAATGGCCGCCCGTCAGGGAGGTGTAGCTCCTCTGGTTGCCGCAGTCCCCAGCCCAAGAGGGGAGGCCGCGGGGAGGGGCAGAGGGGACAGCAGGGAGCAGAGGCTTACCACGGGCAGGGGCCTGGGGTGTGAGGTGCAGAGAGGACTTCAGAAGGAAGCACTGTGGGGGAGAGTCGGCAGGGAGGCCTCAGGTGCAGTTCCAAGAAATGGGGATTTGACCATGAAGACCCTGGGAGCTGTGAAGTGTTCTGGCGCCCTGGGGCTGGAGAGCGACCGTCATGTTTGAAAGATCATCCCCTCATCCACTGAGCCACATCCTCTGCCCTTTTTTGTTTTTTTATTTTGAGACAGGGTCTGGCTAGGATGCTTAGGGCCTCCATATGTTGCTGCAGCTGGCCTTGAACTTGGGATCCTCCTGCCTCAGCCTCCTGAGCCACTGGGATTACAGGCCTGCGCCACCGCGCCTGGCTGGAAGCCAGTTTTGAAGTCACTTCAAGAAGAGGAAGTAGAGGGCTGGAGGCCAGACTGAGATGGCTCCTGGACAGTCGAAGCTGGGGCCATGGAGATGGGCCGGGAGGGAGAGGACAAGTCCCAAGGATGGCCCTGACAGTCCCTGCCTGTTGGTCAGAATGAAGCTGCCTGACGCGGGAACAGACAGCCCATCAGCAAACTAAAGGCTCTAGGTCTGAGCCGGAGGCAACTGGACACCTACTACGTGCCACCCAGCCTATGAAGCTCCCAGGGAGGGCGGTGGGGTGAGGGGGGCTGCAGCCCTGGGGCAGGCCTCGCACACCCCACCCTGGGAGGTGGCCTCCCCCTTACAGATGAGAAAATGGGTGTTCAGCAGTCAGCCACCCCGCCCCCAGGCCCTGTGACTTACAGGTGACGGCTGGGTTTGGAGCCTGGATGGGTCTGCCTGGCTCCAACCCTTGCCTCTCCTTGAGTTTCTCCCAGGAAAACAGCCCCAGCCCATCAGGCAGACTCCAGGCTCCCTGGTGGGGTGGTGGACAGAGCCCTGGGTGGGGGCCGTGGGAGGGAGGCAGCGAGTTATAATTAGCCCTGGGGGCTGAACCGAGACCTCCCACCAAGTCAGTCCCACCATGGGGGCCGGGAGGGGATTAGGTTCTCAGGAGGCTTTGGGCTGCGAAGTCCCTCCTGGGGCCTCCTGGCGGCCCTGCCCCAGCCAGGCGCCAGCCCTTCCCTGGCTCCTCCACAGTCCGTGTGACCCTGGGGTGGAGTGGGCATGTGGAGCCGCCGACCAGGGGGAGGCAGGCTGGGCTAGGCCACCCTCAGCCTCCTGCCTCCTGGAGCCCAGGGTTAGGATCCCAGTGGGGACCTAGCACAGTCACAATGAGGGACACTTCGTGGTGTATCGCCTGAGTCCCAGGCACTGCTCCTGCGTGTCCCCCCCACACATGACCTCATTTTCCTTCTTACCACCCTGGGAGGATGGGACTGTCATTATCCTCATTTTACAGATGAACAAACAGAAGCAAAATCTGGCAGCTTATGGGAGTCGCACCGTTAACCGGGGCCAGGGCCAGCACCCGGAGCCAAGCGGCAGGCTCAGAGGGCAGGGTTTTGTTTTTGTTTTTGATTTTTGTGCTGCCGGGGATGGACCCCAGGGGCGCTCCACCACAGAGCTACCTCCCCAGCCCCCTCTTTCAATGTTATTTGGAGGCAGCGTCTAAGTTGCCCAGGCTGGCCTCAAACCTGGGACCCTCCTGCCTCAGCCTTCTGCGTGGCTGGGACCAGGGGTAGTGTAGGCCACTGCGCCCGGCCAGAGTGCAGGTTGAAACACACTGGGTTACCTTGGGTGACGGACAGGGCTGGACTTCAGTGCCTGCTCCTCCTGGAGCACAGGACTCCCGCACTGTGACTTCTAGGAGAGAGGGGGG